TTCTGCGCACCGACACTTCGCTGCCGCCGTTGTACATCCTCGTGTACGTCGACGACTTGGTCTTTGCCACTGCTGACACTGAGGCTCTCGCCCTGGTGAAGTCGGAGCTGCAGATGAGACACACGTGCACAGACCTGGGTGAGCTGCGCAGTTACCTTGGCTTGCAGATCACCCGGGACCGAGCACGTCGCACCATCACACTGACTCAGTCACACATGGTGCAGCAAGTCCTTCAGCGCTTCGGCTTCACCTGGTCCTCGCCACAATCTCCTCTGGCTACAGGTCACTCGCTCTCAGCTCCACCTTCGGATGAGTCCGTAGAGCCGAGTGGTCCGTATCCAGAGCTAGTGGGCTGCCTCATGTACCCTAGTGAGCTAGTGAGCTAGTGGGCTGCCCTCTTGGCCTTCTGGCACGCTACGTGGCTCCTAGTCGGCACTGAAAGGTGCACATGGATGCTGCGAAGAGGGTACTGCGCTACTTGTGCAGTACATCGGGCATGGGGCTCGTGCTTGGAGGTCGGAGTGAGGTTGTCCTCACTGGGCACTCAGACGCTTCTTGGGTTGACGACCTGGCTACGCAACAATCGTCACAGGGTTACACTTTCAACCTTGGCTCCAGCTCTGCTTCTTGGCGGTCTACTTGCTCTTCTTCTGTTCTCAGATCCAGTTGTAAGGCTGAGATCTACGCCACAGCCATGGCTGCACAGGAGATACGCTGGCTCACCTACCTGCTGACTGACTTGGGAGAGAGGCCTCGTTCTCCTCTAGTTCTATACGTCGACAACAAGGCCGCCATTGCCTAGTGTCAGGAGCACAGACTGGAGCACAGAACGAAGCACACCGCTCTGCGTTAATTTCTGGCTCGAGAGTTGCTGCAGCGTGGTCAGCTTCGTCTTGCTCACGTGGCCACTCGGGCCAACACTACTGATACATTCACCAAGGCACTTCCGTCTAGTGATCATCAGCGTCTGTGCACTCTGTTAGGCCTGGTGCCAGTTTCGTCTCACTTGCTCACTTCTTGACTTTGCTTGTACTGTGATTTATACATATATACCTGCATGCTTGCTCTTGCTAGGTAGTGATCACTGTACTGTTGTTGTTGTATATATGCCTCTGCATGTGAACTGGCCTTGTGGCCCTTTGCTTGTTCTCAGAGTGTGTGGCACCCTGAGCTTGCTTTGCTTTTCTTGACCGGTCTTGTGACACCTTGTTCTCCCCCACTTTGCCTATGGGGGTGTGTCAAACTATATATGTTGTGTTGTATTGTGTAGGCTGTAGGGTAGCCAATATGGGGTACAACGCCTTTAGGGTTTCACATTTGTACCCAACTCTGATCTAGTTCATTTCATTCCTGCCTGTAGTTTCTGAGATCGCCTCCTCGAATCCGCCTCCGCTACTCGGCGGAACCCGTCCTACCGACTAGAATACGTATTGGCCGACCCTTTTTGCGTTAAATCGAGGCGATTCAATCAGTTTAAGGGAGGTAAAATTGAGCATAATGGTCGGCACGAGATGAGATGGAAGTATGATATCGCTCTCGTTTTCCCCGTCCGTTGCCCTCGTTTCCCCCGCTCGTCGCCTTCTTTTCCCCTGCCCGTCGCCCTCATTTCCCCTCCCACCCACGTCGCCCTCGCTTCCCCCGCCCGTCACCCTCGTTTCCCTCACTTGTCGCCCTCGTTTTCCCTGACAGTCGCCCTCGTTTCCTCCGCCCGTCGCCCGTCGCCCTCGTCCCCCCCACCCCTCCCCCATCACCCTCGCTTCCGATGCCCGTCGCCCTTGTTTCCCCTGCCCATCGCCCTCCTTTCCCCCGCCTGCCGCCCTGCTTTCCCCCGTCCGTCGCCCTCGTTTCCCCCGCCCATTGTCGTGACGTCCCCCGCTTGTCGCCCTCGTTTCCCCCGCCCGTCGCCATCGCGTCCCTTGCATGTTACCATCGCTCCAAGATCCCGTCGCTCGCCCCGTCGACCTCTCGTCGCTCCCATTCCCTCCGCTGCCCCTCCCTGCTTCCTCTCGTCTTCACTCTCGCTTCTTTCCCCTATCGCCCACACACACTCCCTCCCCTCTTTGCGGCCGTCGCCTTCGTCCCTCGCCCTTCCCCCCCCCCGCCTACTCTGTTCCCCCCTACTTACTCCGATTCTTCTTACTTGGTTTGTTTCCTCCTGCTTTGTCCCAACCCCCCTGCTCACTCGGTTTCCCCTTGCTCAGTTTTTCCCCCCTGCTCTCTCCCAATCTCCCAACGGCACATGTTATGGCTTTACCACGGCCCTGGATTATTACATGCATGGTAGCAGACAACTAGGTTGGAAAAACAACCACGGAAGGAAAAAACAACTAGGTTGGAAAAAAACAACTAGGTTGAAAAAGAAAAATTACACGCGTATGTAATTTTGCGTTTTGCATATATACGCTGCGGAAAAACAAGCAGGACGACCGCAAGCGCAGCACGGTCGATCTCGCTCCAGCAGCGCAAAGTCGCGGCCTGCCAATGCTGCAAGTTGACGGCGTGCCAACACTGCAGCAAGGCGGCTGCACAGCGTTGCACCCACAAGACAGCAGCGCACCCGCTTCGCAAGTGCACGCAGATCATTGGCGCGCTGAGCTTAGTCACCTGCAGAGTGTAGACACCAAACCGTCCACGTACTGTCAATTGCACCTGATCAGCCACGTCGACCGAGGTCGGCTTTGCTAGAACCACCTGGGCAACCGTCGCGCTCCTCCGTAAACTTCGTCACTCTGGTTACTTGGTCGACCTGGAAACCACCAGGTTGGCGTCGATTTGTTCGAAAAAAATTGACAGAGAGTTGTACGTGCTCGTCGACCATCCAAGTCAACGACCACTGGCCGACTTCACCAAGTCGGCCACTCCCAAGGTCGGCGCCACGAAGTCAGTGCCTCCAAAGGTTGATCTCGCCAGGTCGACCACCCGAACTCGACGCCCTCCAAGTCGATGCCATTCCTCTTCGTGCCCGTCGACCGCCCACGTCGACGACCACCACCGGTCGACCATACCAAGTCGACCACACCCCTGGTCGACCAGACCCAGGTCGACCAGTCCAGCTGGTAGCTACCCGGTGTGAGTATCGCCGCCTGTCGCACCAGACCCTCCTTTGGCACCACCGCCTTGGTCACCCCTCCCTGCCCCGCCTTCGTGGCATGCACTCTCGCTGCCTGGTCTCTGGTCTTCCCAGGTCTCTACCCTCCCTCCCTCCCTCGCCTGCGCCGTCCTGCATTCCTTGCGTCGAGGGGCGGCAGCACGCTGCTCCTCATTCCTCCTCGTTCCCTCCCACAGAGGCTCCACTTCACTCTCCACTTGGACGTGTGGGGCTCAGCCCGTGTCCAGGGGCAGGGTCGCGAGCGGTACTTCCTGCTGGTCGTCGACGACTACACGCGTTACACCAAGGTCTTCCCCTTGAAGCGCAAGGGGGATGTTCCTGCTGTTAAGATCCCTTGGATTCGCGCTGTTCTTCTCCAGCTCCGCGACCGGTTCGAGTCGGACTTTCTTGTCATGCGTCTACACTCTGACAGAGGTGGTGAGTTCACCTCCGAACTCTTACGAGCCTTCTGTGAGGAGCACGGCATCCGCCAGTCGTCCACGCTTCCGGCCTCTCCGCAGCAGAATGGGGTTGCTGAACGCCGCATTGGCTTAGTCATGGAGGTCGCTCGTACCTCCATGATCCATGCGGCTGCCCCCCATTTTCTGTGGCCGTTTGCGGTCCGGTGCACCGCGCATCAGCTCAACCTCTAGCCCCATGTCTCCGTGCCGGAGACTTCGCCCACACTACGTTGGACGGGGGAGGTTGGCGATGCGTCGCGTTTCCGGAGTATCGTCTATCTCGTTGCAGATACTCAAGAACCGTCGTGTGTATTCCTAGACGTTTCCTATCTGTCGGAAATGACGCAGACGCTTCCTAGCAGCTTCGGAGGCGTTCACCAAATCGAACCTACTTTTCAGCGCCGCTTCAAATCCTTCCCATGTGGTCAGAGCCGTGGTAACACCCAAAGCTAAACTCCCTAAGCTCGAAGTTGCAGCTGCATGCCCCACGCCCTTTTGATGCCCGCCTGTCTAAGCCCATCTTACAGCAGTTTGCGGGAGTTGGCGCCACCACTCCAAGGCCGGGCCCCTCAGCAGCGTAACTGAGTACTCGATCCGCTGCTGCGCGTCCGCCTCTTGCACCCCGCTCGCGGCGAATTAGTTGTTCAGCATGAAGAGCCACGTCCGCACGTTCGCGTCGCGTTGACTTGGGTCGAACGACTCGGGTTTCTCCGGCTTTAGTGCGCTTTGACGTTCCGGCAGCGCTTCTGCGCCAGTCGACGTGTTGGGTGCAGGAGATGGTGCGGCATGACCATGAGAAATCGACGAGAATTCACGAAGCTGTTGCATTTCAGCCCGTATCTAACGATTTTCCAGCGTCAACGTTTCCAGTTGGCGCATGAGTTGAGCAAGCGTGTTGCCCATGTCGGCTCGACGACTCCAAGTCTACAAGTCGGCATCGCGGGACGATGACGTCGTAGTTTCGTCGTCGACGGTCGCTCGTTGGAAGTCGCTCCCCGCGAAGGCTCCTGATACCAAGTGTTAGGCCCCTTGGCTTAAATTCGCTAAGGAATAGCGGGGTTGACTAAATTGAGGATAAAGCGCGGCGGGAGACTTTGGCGAAAGATGTGTTGGCGAAATAGGCGAAGAAGTAACTGAGTAGTTGATGAATGAGAACTGGTTGATATTGGTGGATACAAGCAAGGATGATAAAGCATGCAAGGTCGAATGTCGGAAAGTACTTCGTGGGACTAGAAAGTAGAAGCAAGAAAGGTAGAGTGTCACGTGGCACTAGGAAATCTGAAAAGATAAGGATAAGGATGGGGTTGGGAACACTGTTCAAAGGGAACAGGAAACACCCCTCTAACATCCTGCCAGGTTCTTGTTTGCTCGTCCTGGATCCTTCCATGAAGGCGGCGTGGTTCGACGACCCCCACTAGGGCACGCAGCATCCAGAGACAGAGCGCAGGGATATGTCGCGCCCACCGTCGAGCGTGGTGATCGCGCTGGTACATGATCGGGTGGCCGAGTACCAGGCAGCGGCGAGGGAGCTGGCTCCTAGGCCCACTACACTTCCCACGGTTGTAGAGGAGGAGGAGGGAGAGAGGGGGGGGGAGGACGAGGACGACGTGTATCACCCTAGTCGTCGACGCCTTGCGGCGAGTCTGTCTGCGAGCCAGGCGGCGTGGGGGGGGTGGTCTTGTGCAGGATGATGAGGTCAGCAGGTGCTTGTGCGAGAGGGTGCGGTACGACGGGTCAGCGTTAGAGTACTGGCGCACCTCCACGAACATGGAGACGCTGAAGAGGATGGCGAGGGATTATCTTGCAATCCCTGCCACGTCTGCTACGAGCGAGCGTGTGTTCTCCTTGGGCCGCAACCTCATTTCATGGAAGCGTGACCGCCTGAACTCCGAAAGGGCGCGATCCTGCATGATTCTCAGATCGTGGTATGGATCGCACCTAGGCCAGAGGATCGGCGAGGGCCGCCCCACGAAGGGGGTTGCAGCTCTGGAGATCGCTATTGGGGGTGAGGGTGCGGAGGAGGAGGAGGAGGAGGAGGAGGAGGAGGAGGAGGAGGAGGAGGAGGAGGAGGAGGAGGAGGAGGAGGAGGGGAAGAGGAGGAGGAGAAGGAAGAGGAGGAGGAGGAGGAGGAGGCGGAGGAGGAGGTGGAGGGGGAGGCGGCGGAGGAGGTGGAGGAGGACGCGGCGGATGGGAGAGGGGCGGACGCAGCAGCGGGTGGTGGCGAGGATGGTGGTGTTGGTAGCGGGGCTGGAACTGGGCTGTAATTTTCATTTTGTTTGGGGGGCATTGAGGGACCCTTTGGTGACCCTCCCATGTTGAATCCTAGGTAGTCCTTTGACTGTGGACATGTTCTATTGCGCACTTTAATTATGCTCTTAAAAGTTGTTATGAACACGGCAAGGGTAAGTCAAATCAATACCAAACCGCAAACCCTTCTAGCGGGAACCCTTTGTAGTGTTTTACTCATGTGTTTTAATATGCAAAGCCCTCAGGGGCGAACACGAACATGTTCATGGCGAACACGTTCGTGTTCGCCATTATGTTCGAAATGTTCGCCTTCAAAGGGGAACATCGAACACGCCTTTGGGCGAAACCTGTGAGAATAAGCGAACAGGAATGAATGAACTAGCAGTGAAAATGAGTACAAGTAGGAAACCCTAGGATTGTGTACCCCCTATAGGCTAACCCACTGTAGCCTACACAAGCATAACATATATAATGTTTGACACACCCCCATAGGCAAAGTGGGGGAGAACAAGGGGTCACAAGACCAGTCAAGCAAAGCAAAGCAAGCTCAGGGTGGATCACAAAGTCACCACACAGTCCGAGCACAAGAGCAGGGCCAGAGGCCAGTTCACATGCAAGAGTACGGACATATATATAAAACTAGACAAGCAAGAGCAGGTATATATATATGTCACAGTACAAGTGAAGTCAAGAGGAGAGCAAGTGAGGCAAGACAGGCACAAGACCCAGCTGGGTGCAAAAGCGCTGATGGTCACAAGGCGCGAGTGCCTTGGTGAACACATCAGCAGTGTTGGCCTCAGAGGCCACGTACGCAAGTCGCAACTGACCACGCTGCAGCAGCTCATGAGCAAGGAAGTAGCGGAGAGCAATGTGCTTCGTTCTGTGCTCCAAGCGCTGCTCTCGACACAAGGCCAGCATGGCCTTGTTGTCTACGTACAGCACTGGAGGAGAACGAGGCGGCTCTCCAAGGTCAGTCAGCAGGTAGGTGAGCCAGCGAAGCTCCTGTGCAGCCATGGCCCCGGCGTAGATCTCAGCCTCACAACTGGAGCCGAGAACCGAAGACGAGCAAGTAGACCGCCACGAGACAGAGCCGGAACCAAGGCTGAAGGTGTAACCCTGTGACGACCGCTGCGTAGCCTGGTCGTCAGCCCAAGAAGCGTCCGCGTGGCCGGTAAGGACCACTGGACTCCGCCCTCCAAGCACTAGCCCCATGCCCGACGTACTGCACAGGTAGCGCAATACCCTCTTCGCTGCAGCCATGTGCTCTGGTCCGTGTCTCCCAGGAGCAACATAGCGTGCAAGAATGCTCAGAGGGTATGCAAGGTCAGGTCGTGTGCAGGTCATCAGGTACATGAGGCAGCCAACAAGCTCTGCATACGGACCACTCGACTCTACGGACTCATCCGAAGGCAGAGCTGAGAGTGAGTGGCGAGTAGGCAGAGTAGTGGCCTGAGGCGAGGAGTACGTGAAGCCGAAGCGCTGAAGGACCTGCTGCACCATGTGTGACTGAGTCAAGGTAATGGTGCGGCATGCTCTGTCCCGAGTGATCTGCAAGCCAAGGTAGCTGCGCAGTTCACCCAGGTCTGTGCACGTGTGTCTCTTCAGCAGCTCGGACTTCACGTAGGCGAGTCCAGCAGTGTCCGCTGTGGCAAAGACCAAGTCGTCGACGTACACGAGGATGTAGAACGGCGGCAGGGAAGTGTCGGTGCCAAGAAACAGCGACGGGTCAGCAGTAGAAGGAGCAAACCCAAGAGCCGCAAGCGTAGTCCTCTGTGTGTCGTGCCACTCACGCGGTGCCTGGCGGAGACCGTAGACTGGCCGTCGGAGGCTCCACTGGGTGCCAGGAGGGAAAGTCCCAGTGAAGCCAGGTGGACGGCGAAGCCAGATCTCCTCGTGCAGGCTACCCTGCAAGAACGCAGTGCTGAAGTCGAGAGAGTGAAGCTCGTAGTCGCGCTGAGCGGCTATGTGCAGCAGCACCCGAAGAGTGGTCATCTTCGGGGTGGGAGAGAAGGTCTGAAAGTAGTCAACTCCCTGCCGCTGACTGAAGCCACGAGCAACGTACCGTGCCTTGAAGACAGGTGGAGAGCCCGGCGGCCGCTTCACCCTGAAGATCCACATGCCACTGACGATGTTCGCCCCAGGAGGGGGAACCGCGTCAACGTAGGTGCCTGTGGACTTCCAGGAAGCCATCTCTGCATCCATAGCTGCCTGCCACTGAGAGGAGTAGGGACCCTCTACGGCCTCCGCGTAAGAACGCGGAGTCGGGATGTCTAGTGCATCCGGGTCTCCCTCAGGGGCAAGCAGTACAGACGCGAGATGAGGTGAAGCAGCCGCTAGACACTGGAACTCCTCCTGCCTGTCCTCTATGACGTCCGTGCCAAGAGCACACTCACCCCCGACGGACGGAGGACAGACAGACGCAGACTCAGCAACAAGACTAGCAGCGTAGTCGAGACGACAGCGAGCAGCAAAGTCGACGAGCGCAGCGACTAGAGCAGACGCAGCAGTGGACTCAAAAGAGGGGTCAGTGACGACAGTAGCAAGCAGACGCGTGACAGTAGGACTGGCAGCACGAAGAGAGTCCGACTCAGGGTCGGCAAGCGCAGGAAGAGAGGACTCAGGAGGAGAAGGCAAAGGGGCACGCAGAGGAGCAGTGGACGGACGCAAAGACATCCGGTGCGTGCCAGGGACAGGAGGAGGACGCTGACGCGAACTGCGACCACTAGCGCGAGCAGCACGAACAGGCGACGCGGGACGAGACGCAGGCTCACGATGCTCAGCAAGACCTCCAGTAGGACCAGTGTAAGGAGAGGGAGCAGGCAGTGGAGAGGAAGGCTCCAGCAGGGACTGCGACTGGACAGGCGGTGGACCCTCTACTGGAGGAGAAAGACCAAGAACCTGCTGCAGGAGCGGAACGAAGTACGGCCGAGGCCGCGCGGCAGCTCCAGACTCAGCAGGGACAGCACCACCACCCTCAGCGACAACACCAGCGCCACCCACACCTCCAGCGGCAGGACCAACAGCAGTAGGCTCAGCACCAACGCCCTCAGCAGCTCCAGCTCCAGGAGGACCCGCAGGTCCAGCAGCTCCGGGACCGGCAGCACCCGCACCCTCGACGGTCGAAGAAGCTCCAGCTCTAGCTCCAGCAGCACCTCCAGACTCAGCAGCACGCCTCCAGCGGCGAGTGAACCACTCGCGCAGCTCCTGTGGAGAGAGGGGCTCTCGGCGAGACGCAGCAGCAGGAGAAACCCCAGGCTCAGCAGCTCCAGACGCAGCACCCCCAGGCTCAGCAGCTCCCAGCTCAGCACCCCCAGGCTCAGCAGCTCCCGACCCAGCACCCCCAGACCCAACACCCCCAGCAGTAGCACCTCCAGGCTCAGCACCCCCGCGCACAGCACCCCCAGAGTCAGCACCCCCAGGCTCAGCACCCGCAGCAGCACCAGAGTCACCAGTAACCTCGACCGGGTCAACGGCGTCTACCTGGGACACACCTGAGGGGGCAGGAACCTGAGGGGGGAGGGGGTCTACCGGGGGGGGAACCGGCACAAGGAAGTCCGGGGGAGGGGGGAGGGAAGGAGTGCGGTAGGGGAAGAGACGGTAGAAGGGGACTGACTCGTCGAACGTGACGTCCTGGGAGGACAGAACACGACGAGAGGAGGGGTGGTAAAACTGCCACCCTGGGGCGTCAGTGGGGAAGCCAAGGAAGACACGGGAAGCAGCACGAGGGGACAGCTTGTCCGCAGACAAGTCGCGGACAAACGCCCGAGATCCCCAGACACGGAACACAGACGCATCGCCAACCTTCCCCGTCCACAGCAAGGCTGGGGACATCGCAGGCCGAGAGACCCGGGGGTGAAGGTTGAGCTGATGCGCCGCGTACCTCACCGCAAACGGCCACAGAAAATGGGGGGCAGCCGCATGCATCATGGACGTACGAGCGACATCCATGACCATGCCAATGCGGCGCTCAGCAATCCCATTTTGCTGTGGTGAGTCCGGAAGCGTGAAGGTCTGGCGGATCCCCCGTGCACGACAGTAGTCTCGCAGAAGGCGAGAAGAGAACTCTCCGCCTCTGTCCGAGTGCAGTCGCAGAACAGGAAAGTCCGAGCCGAAGCTCTTCCTGAGCTGGAGACGAGCCTCGCGGATCCAGTCGATCAGCACCTCAGTGACCGCACCCTTGCTGCGCAAGGGGAGGACTGTGGTGTAACGCGAGTAGTCGTCAACCACCAACAAGAAGTAGCGCTCGTGACCCTGCCCACGGACGGGGGCTGGGCCCCACACATCCATGTGAAGCATCTGAAGGGGAGCCTCTGTCGGGGGGAAGTGGGAGGAGTGAGGAGTAGCCCGGAGGCGACCCTCGACACAGGGGACACAGGAAGGTCCTGGCCCGGAGGGGAGAGGAGGGAGAGACTGGGGAAGACCAGAGACAAGGACACGGGAAGCCATGCTCCGAAGACGGGGCAAGGAGGGGTGGCCAAGACGGTGGTGCCACAGGAGAGTCTCGTGAGACAGGAGGCGACAAGAACAGGGGGCAGACTCAGGACCTGACCGGGACGCAGCAGCAAGCACCTGACCTGTCGCAGCCACCTGACCAGACGCAGGGACAGGAGGAGACTCAACGGTCAGGGTGTAGAGACTCGACCCCGACCGACGCGAGAACGTGGCCAGGTGTCGGCCTGTGCGTGCCTCCGTGCAGTGGGTTACCCGCTGACTCGCAGGAGTGAACTGGTGAACCCCCACATCCTGCAGGTTCGCGCCACTCACCAAGTTCGTAGAGAACGAGGGAAGGTACAGACCAGACAGGGTGCCCGAAGGGGCAGCCGGACACGGGAGGACAGTGGAGAAGTGAGACAAGACAGGACCCCCAGAGGGGTCAGCAAGGGAGACTGCAACCGGCCGGCCGAGCGGCGTAAGGGTAGTGCGGTCTCGAAAGAAGGAGCGAGAAGCCCCGGAGTCAAGTGTGAAAGTGAGGGAGGACGAGGACGACGCAGTACCTGAGAGCGCAGTCTCACCAGTA